CCTTTTGAAGTTTTCATTTTTGTTGTTTAATCCTTAGTTCAAAAATCAATATTTCAGTTTAGTCCCAAAGACACCTTCCTAGAAGTTTCCTAAATCAGTTATACATATATTCCCTATCCTAAATTCCTAAACTAACCCTTAAATTCCTGCTATTTACTTTAGAAATCTCATGGGTCAATTTGACCCAATGGTTCAGCTCAAAAAAAACCTGGGCTTGCAAGACTAGTTTAATTCCTTTTTCCTAGGCCTCTGATTAACAGAGCCCAGATTCAAATCAGGAAAATATGAATTCAAAGGGTCAGGCAGAATTTTTAGAGTTACTTTCTTTTGAAAACAAAAAAAAAATGAAATAACAACAAGAACAAAGAAGTTAAAACAATCATGCATTAACAGACTTTAAATTTAAATATGCGATTAGAAATGATTCAAAACGAAAAGAAAACAATAGAGAAAAACAGAAGAGATGAAGCAAGAAGAGATGCAAACTGGAATTTAAACGCAAAAGAAGAAGAAAAATGAGAGAAGGAAAAAGAAAGATGAAAATACCTAAGAACCAGTCGGAACAAATCTTGAAATTACCCCTCGAGCCTTCGATTTTGATCGAAATGGGCCTTAATCGTGTGTTCTCAAAGGAAAACACACGAATAAGGTCAATTTCGGTTTCAAACCTTCATTAAACTCGCTGATTTGGGATTTTAGGATTTTAGGGTTCAGGTCTTTGATTTAAGATTCGACGAGTTTCAGAGGGATTCGAGGGAAAAGAGTTATGGATTGGGAAAGGGGATGATGTAAGGGTTTTATGGTGTTAATTTGGGGTCGGTCAGAGGTAGCGCCGCCGGCTTGAGGCGGTGGAAAATTGGGGCAGCTCTAGGGTTTTTGTTCAGTCTCTGAAGAGGGAGACGAAGGGTGAAGGAGATGAGTTAGGGGGGGGGGGGGTTACATATTCGGACAGTTTTATACTGTCAATCCCCACAGTTCCCGTCCGTTCGATTGAGTAAAATCAATGGCTCAGATGATGAGAGACTAAAACGGTGTCGTTTGGTTACTTAAATGAACGGACCGGGTTGGGACGCGGATCTAGGCCAATTTTAACGGGTAAAGGGTGTTTAAATCAATTGGGCTTTGGGAATTTAAGTGGGTTTGTCCCAAAACAAATTTCCTTCTTTTATTTTCCTTTTTCATTCAATTTCTTTTCAAATTCAAATCTTTTTTCTTCTTTTTTTTTTCAAATTAAAAATAAAACCCTAAACTAATTCTTAAAAACTAAATTAGCCTACCAAATTATATTAATTACTTAAAACATTATTTACAATAAGTAATTAATTACCAAATTGAAAGTAAACTACAAAAATCGAAGCTAGAAATCAAAAGTGCAAAAATGAATTATTTTTTGTGATTTTTCCATTTTTGTAAAACAAACTAATTTACTAATTAATCTAAAATATGTAAAATTAAATCCTAAATGCAAATGAAATGTATTTTTTGTATTTTTCATGAATTAAATAGAATTAAACATGCACACAACAATGCAAATAATCAGAAAATTCTACAATTACTCCTAAAATAACAAATAATTAAAAGAAAAATCTAATTCTTGGGAATTCTGTAGGAGTAATTCGTGTGAGGCAAAAATCACGTGCTCACATCCACCTCACAGACAAAGGCTTTAATTGTTAGAAGCTTATATTATGGATGTTCCATCACGTCCACCAAAGGCGAAAGTAATAACTAATACCCCGAGCCGCAGATCGGAAGATAGTTTAAGCCTACTTAAAGGTTGAGGAGAAGAGGAAACTAAAGAGTTACATCAGCTAAGTGAATCAGGAGTCTTATTATTAGACCCAGATAAATATAGAAATCGTGATTCAAAACACTGCAAAATCACTCCTAATATCAGAGGTACAAGAGAGATAGTACAACAACTATATTCTATAATGGCTCTACGATAAAGCCAGTTAGAAAAGTACCAGCCTCATAAGGAGTAAGTAAGAAGCTCCTGTTGGATTGTATATGCACCAGAGGTGCAGTATTATAGTAGAGCTTCAAGTTGTGGATGTGAACTCCACCTATGTGGAAGGGTAGTTATGAAAGAGACAAAAAATACAATGCTAAATTTAAAGGTAAGTAAGGTAAATGTGAAGAAGCTACAGGATACTCAAGTGCATAAGGTTGTGAATGGTCCAGACTTCATTTAGAGGGTTAGAAGCACTATGATTCAGTATCCACAAATGATAGTTGTGTCGTCAGTGGCATATCTTTTAACCTATGATTTCTAGGTACCGAGAGGTCTAGTTAAGATAGTAATGAAGAGTTAGAGACGACATGATGTCTCGCTTGAGGTTCAAGAATAACATAAGGAAATCTGTGGTGCTATCAAGTTAAAGGAAGGTTGTGAGTAGTATAAATAGATATGTGTAGGTCGCAAGCCAAAGTGTGGTAGAGCGATAAGGTTTTAGGTAGACGAGAGTAAGGATAAGAAAAGGTAAGTGAGAAGGTGACGAGAATAAGTAAGCCCTCAGGATTAAACACATCAAAATAATAGAGCTGACGATTTTCGTAAGTTATAAAAAAAACTCAGTACACCTTGAATGAACTCAGAGGAGTTTCATTTAAAAAAGAGGGAATGTTGCCCTGGTAGTAGAATAAGGGTGTAATTGTGATAAATGTTAAGAGGATGACATTTAGGCTTTCGATTGAGTAATTATTCAAAGATAAGGGACTTTATGGATTGCATGAGATTCGAATACCTCCATAAGATGAATCACGTTGGGATGCGATGATATATGGTTATTGAAGTATAGTATCGTGCCTAGGTGGATCATGCAAACAAATTCAGATGTTCCCCTATGAGACGTGAGCCCTAGTGATAATGTATTACGTAAGAGGTTTCACGTTATCAGTGGTAGATTATAGATCAACATTAAGGTGAATCAATAATAGGGCAGAAAAAAGTTCCAAAGTATGAGATGAGATTAGGCCGTCATTCTTAAGATGAACAGTAATGAGGAAGAACTAAAGGACTTAGATTTATACATATAGGATAAGCAGCGAGAGAGTAACCTGAAGTTGGGTAGCAAACCTCGGTAATAATAAATCGAAGTAAGTGTTATGGTATAATATAACCTACCTAGATGTAGTAAAGCCATACGGATAGATATACAAGGCTTAAAAACAAGATATAGTAACAGTCATAAGTTCAACAAAGTACCGAACGAAGAACTTCAGTACACCTATATATACCGGGAGGAACAACTTATCATAGTTCTGTATATGTTTCAAAAGTGAGGCATAGAGATTGGCTAAAAGCTGGAGGAAAAAGGATAGAAGAGTCGCATGGGTGCACATACAAGGACAAAGTCATACAGGCTGCATGACAGAAGGTCGCAATAGTTACGAGATTGGAAGAATTCCGACAACAAGTGGTGGTGTGAGAAAGCGGCCTAAAGGGGGGAATGCCCTAGCTTTCAGATTTATTCACAGAACAGTTCCCTAGATTGTAAGGAAAATACTAAAATATTCATAGCAGCTATGGGTTATGAGACTGATAAGCACATCAGCCAACATTCAAGAACGAATGTTCCAAATGGGAATGATGTTACACCCCATGTTTTCATACGTAAGAGTACGTCTTAAGTCATTTGATGTAAGCTCAGAATTGAGATCATCTTTGAAAGTACATAAAGTAAGTTAATCATGTTACCATGGAGGTTACAAATATCTAAGATCATGAATGGCAAGTACCAAGAGGGTTGGAAGGCTTAGAAGCTAAACGAATTGAAGAAAATAAGTTTTGTCGAAAGTCGACAAGTTGGGGAATGTTATAAAATGTACTTTTGGGGTGAGAATAGGGTGATTAAAATTATAAGGAGGTTATGTTATGAGTTATTTTAGTCGTATGATAGACGTGTGTTATGTTTTGAAGTCAAGCGAGTTGTGGAACAAAAGTTGAAAAAGGTCATCACAAGTTACATTCTTAAATGTGTTGAAACTTAGGTCAAATGTAGCTAAGCTTTTCTCCCAATATACTTGGAATTAGGGGATGATATACGTACCAGATTGATGATCTACGAGTCTAGTTTCTAACGCAATAAACCGTTCATCGATACGACATAGGAGTAGAGAAATATTTGCAGTTACGCGAGACTGCGCAGACTGCATAGGTGACAAGTAGGTGTGTGACTAAAGCTTTTTGAGCAATACATTTCGTCTGTTATATGAGGTCTTTTTGGGACATATTATATACCAAATTGAAGGTCTTGGAATTTAGTTTCTAGTGCTCTTAACCGTTCATTCATACGACATCCGGATAAAAAGATAAAAGTGTCGGAAGAAGGGCCAATGCTAGGGTGCCAAGCTAGCACCTCTTTGACTTTTCAAAAGTTGATATATATAAACGTTTTAAATCGTCTTTCTCTTCCTTTTTTTTCATAGAACACGACCAGAAAACCCCCCATAAACTTACCCTTAAGCTCTCTACAAGGGTTTCCAAGAAGATTAACATTTCAGGTACGAAATCAAGAAGCGATAACATTAGAACGATCCCTACGAGATTGAGTTGAGTTTTTTGAAGAATTGCTTGGAAGGTATTAAGGACTCAACGAAGTTAAGGTATGGTAAGGCAAAACTTTTCTTTTATTTTGGCATGATCCAGTAACTACATATGTTTGATAACGAGACATAAAGAGAAGTCCATATTCAGTTTAGTTTTGTCTTCTTTCAGTTTAGTTTTATATATATATATATATATATATATATATAATATATATATATATATATATATATATATAACTTAAACATAAGTTATCACTTTAATTATTATTATATATTAATTTAAAATTGTTGTAGAAATTTTAGATCCTAGATCTACTTGGGAAGTAATATAACACACGTATACATGTTAGTTTCTCATGGACATGAAAATTCCATAATAGAGAAAAGAATTCGTCGAAATTTGAAAGGTCAAAAAACAATAGGTAACTGTAGGGTACGCTTATTATATTTCGAAAGCAGTCAAACTTTTGCTATAATTCTATATCTATACAAATTCCTCGACGATCCCAAGTCCCAACATAAAACAAATCCTATTATTATACGTAGTGAGAAATCCCCTTGGCAATCATGCCTTTTTCTTGATTTGCTCTTTTCTACAAATCAATCCAACAGATAGACCCTAGCACCCTATACCCTACAATCATCCCTCTTTGCAACTTCCACGCCGCCCTCATGGAAATAAATTGAAACAACCATTTATCTTGCCTTTTAAACTGATTATAAGATGATGTTGATGATGGCGGTGGTAGTTGTTCTTTAGCATTGGTTGTAAATTGTGATTTGATAAAGAAAAAAGAAAAAAAAAATGTGTCAGATTTTGGAAATAGAGGGTGGTGATTTGTTGGTGCCGCCCACAAATTTTTCTGCTGTTGAAGATAATTGCATTTATAGATCTGGGTTTCCTCAGTCCTCCAATTTCACGTTTCTCCAGTCCCTTAATCTACGCTCTATCATGTTAGTTCTTTTCTTCTTTCTTGGGGAAAAAGAAATCTCTTTTTTATGAATTGCAAATTTCTATTTTCTTTTGTTGGGTTTGTGTTAAAGACTTTGTTTGGTGTAATTGCGGTTTGTGTTTGCAGATATTTGTGCCCTGAGCCTTATCCTGAGCAAAATTTGGAGTTTCTTCGAATTAACAATATCAAGCTTTTCCAATTCGGAATTGATGGCACTAAGGTATTCCTTTTTTGTTTTTCTTTCGTTTTCTACTTAATTTTATTGTTTTCTGTTGTCTTTTTTAGCTTAAATCTTTGTTGATTATTTGAGGGGATGTTTTTCTGTTTATTGCTGTTGTTTCATGATTAATTTGATGTTTTCTTGGTTTATAAAAATGAAATTCAACGAAAGCTGTGAGAATTTTTCTATCCTCGTTATGTATAATTGATGGAATTTCGTAATTGAGAGATTTTGTTCTTTTTCTTCTTTCCTTTTCGTTTTATGTAATTTTTTTGGTTTTATTTATTGGTGGCTTATGGTTTTTAATTATGATTAAATAGAATGGAATAAATGGTTGTTGGAATCTAAATGGTACAGTTCACACTAACTTTTTCCTTCTTGAAAATACTTTCTAAAAGTTGCAGTTTTAGGAATCATTACTAAAAATTAACGGTTAATTTGTGTTTGATGTTTGGATATTGCTGGTAAATTTAAAGCTAGATTGAATTAGAGTTCTAATTCTTTGGTAAAGAAAAGAAAAATACATTGCATTAAAGTCAACTACTATTGTTCTAAAGTTTTCAGCATCAAGATTTTGCCTCATGATATTTTCTTGTTTTCAATATTGGATGAAGTTTAGATGCTTAGAGATTGTCTTTTTTTAATTCTCTATTTTGTAGAGTTTTTCTTTTTCTTATATGGTGATTTTTGGAATATGCTCGAATGAGAAGGTCTGCAGCATACTATTATCTTGATATTAAAAAATCGCACAAAGAAACTTGTTAATGTTAATTTTTTATCTGAATCTACCAGTGGTACAAACTTTTGATATCCATTTTGCATTAGTATTGCTTTGTAAAATGGAACCTTTTTCCATTCAGGAGCCATCAGCTATGTCCAGCTGTGCTATAACAGAGGCTCTGAAAGTGATAACTGGTAAACACTCTTTGCCGCTCTATCTGTCATGTTTTAATGGCTATTAATTTGCAGTACATGATTTTTTACTGTCTCTTTTTTATTTTGGTCTTTAGATGTCAGAAATCACCCAGTTCTCATCCACTGCAAGCGCGGGAAGGTACATAATCTTCATCTTTTCTTGTTTGGGTTGTTCTTACGTGTGTGTTTATTGTGCACCATTGGCTTTTGTGTCTATGCTTACCTTCTAAGTATTCTCTTTATTGTGTGTATATTTCATTCCTATCGAGGAATTTTGCCCGTGTTAATAGATGCACATTGCTGTAGGTATGCCACTAATATATCCTCTGGTAATATGTATGGAATCTGTTGATTCATTGTGTTGTCTCTCATGTTTAAATATGGATTGCATATCATATCTATCTGGTTATTGTTTTCTTTTGAATTTTGAGCATCATTGTCGTTTTCTTCAAGTGAAATACAAAGACTTTATGATTTCTGCATAACTAATTCCAATTCGCGTGCTATGGCTGTAACAAGTTTGTATTTTGTCGTGCAGCACCGAACTGGTTGCCTTGTTGGGTGCCTGAGGAAATTGCAGAACTGGTGTATGTCTGCTGTTGTTGAGGAGTACAAACATTTTTCCGGCACTAAGTGGAGGGAAACAGACCTCAAATTTCTGGAGAGCTACGACGTTTCATGCATAAGGCATTGTCTCGAGAGCATTATCTATAGGTACTATGGCGCGAAGAAGAGGCGCTTGCTATACAGCGAAGAAAGTCTGCAGAAGTCACAGATGACTCCTGTTCTGTAGAAAGGGATTATCCATCTTAATTTTTAGCCTGGATTGGATATCCTATTGCTCTTTATTCCTTTTAAGTTTCTTTCTTTTTAGTCATTACACACTGCGTCAGATTCATTTATACACCAATTTGTTTCGGATGCTATATTTTGCTCTACTTCTTTCTTTCTTTCCTTTTTCTTCTGTAGATTGTTGTTCTTGTACATTACTTAGTCACCCTTCATATTAAACAACTAAAAAATTAATTCAGTTTAAGCTTGACCCAATTTGCTTTGCTTAGGATTGAGGCATAGTCATAGTAGTAATGAGTAAAGAGTTTTAAGGCACATAGGTGATTCTATAGAAATACAGTAAAGATGAAAGGTGGAATAAATGATTAGGATATTCCACCTAAGACATTACTCTCACTCACTGTGGGGACAATCGGTCGAAACTTATAGCGTATTAAAAATCAGCTTATTTTGAGAAATACTTTTTAAAAGTGTTTTTCTTAAAAGTACTTTTGATGAGAAGCAATTTGTGTTTGGCTAATTAATTTGAATAACACTTTTGAGCAGCAATTAGTGTTTGGCCAAGCTTTTGAAAACTGATTCTAAGTGTATCTTTCTCAAAAGAGAAGCTATTTTTTTCTGCTTCTCTAAAATTGCTTCTGCTTCTCCTCAAAAGCATTTTTTTTTCTTCCAAAAGCTTGGCCAAATATTTCAACTTTAAAAAAAAAGTACTTCTAAGATTGGAGAAGCTCGACCAAACAAGTTATTATACTCCTAGCTCACCAGATTTCAATTAAGAGCCCGTTTGGACATAAAAAAAAAATTATTTTTTCCAAAAAGTTTTCACTTTTTTTCGAAATCAACGTTTGTTCATAAAATTTTCAATTTTCACTTGAAGATGCATTTTGATAAAACTCCAAAAAGCTATTTTTCAAAATTTTCGCTCAAATCACTCACAAATCTTCAAAAACAACCCAAAATTATATTCATGTCCAAACACAACTCTAAATTTCAACCATTTTCATTTGAAAAAAAATTTCACCGTATTTTGAGATTCTACAATTCTTATGTCCAAACGCCCACTAAGTCTGGCAAAAGTTTGTCCATTTTAAAAGGAAGTTGACGGGGAGAACGAAACAGATAAGTGAACTTGCATGCATCGTCCAAATGTTAGTTATAAAATATGGATTATACTTTTAGCTATTGCTTTTACTATTCAAGGAGAACGTGAAGATAAGGCTTTCTGTGGTGAAGTTCTTCAACTTTTCTTGCCAATCAGATGATACATGAGAATATGCGACTTTTGCGGGTGTAATATGGGAAACTTGTCGTTTTCTGCTATTAGTTAGATAAAATAAAGAAAAAAGTTTTACCAGACAAATACGGTTAAGGATAGATGTCAATTACATTCGATATACAACAAAAATACAATAAGGGTGTGTTTGGTATAAAGAAAAATGTTTTCTATGGAAAATGTTTTTCGAGAAAATGTTTTCATGAAAAATGAGTGATTTTCTGAATCCATTTCATTACTTTCTTCCACAGTTCTATTGCATATGAACATTGCATGTGCTCCCTTGTTTCAACCTGACCTTGGCACATGACACAGTGAGGAGTGACACTTAGTCCCCAGTTGGCTAGCCTGTCCTTAGTAGGTAGTCTTCCATATAGTAGCAACCACATAGTGAATACTGCCTTTGGTCGAGCGGAATTCTAAAAGACTAGACATTTTCAGCTCACTCTTGACAATTCTCCTAGCAGCTGTAGGTATATTTGTCTAATACTACTGGTATTGTGATCACTGGAGTTCTAAGCCTGCAACATGGTAACTCTTGATTCAATTATTCTTCTCACCGTCCAACTTGCTTGTTGTGGGATTGGCATATGTTGTAGCTGCTGTTGTTTGATGTAGTATGCATTAATCCACCTATCCATAATTTGTCCTGCTTGTGAGCTAAATCCCAGCATGTTTTAGCAATTGCTGCTTTGTTCCACAAAGAGAGATTTATAAGGTTAAGACCACCAACTGACTTACGAGTACACATCTTATCTCATGCCACTAATGCTTTCCTAGTTATCGTGTTAGTTCCTGACCAAATATAGCTTCTACAGAGTGCCTCAATCATTTTCAAAACGTTAGCAGGCAAGATGAACAGTTGAGCTCAATAGGCTTGAATACAAAATATAACAGATTGCACCAGCTGCACACGACCAACATATGAGCATTTTAGCAGTCCATGAGGATATCTTGGCTGTGATCTTTTCAATCAAAGGTTGCCATTGTATGAGAGCAATTTTCTTTGTAGATTGAGGAATGCCTAGGTACTTGAAAGGCAAGGAACCTTGTTCAAATCCCAGGTGATCCAAAATCTGCTTTTTCATATCTTGTTTCACTCCACCAAAGTACACTGAACTTTTACCCAAATTAGCCTGCAAAACTGATGCTTCAGGAAACTGAGAAAAGTACTTGTATAGTGTAGTCACCGAGGACAGATTACCCCTGGTAAACAACAATAGATCATCAGCAAAACTCATATGAGTTATGTCCAATTTCCTGCACCTGGGGTGGTGCTGAAATGTAGGCTCGTTCTTAAGCTCATGGAGGGACCTACTCAAGTACTCCATCACTATTGCAAATAGAAAAGGAGAGATAGGATCTCCTTGTCGAAGATCCTCAGCAGCATTGAAAGGTTCAGTAGTTTCTCCATTCACAAGGACAATATAGTTTACTGTCATGATGCATTCCATTATCCATTTGATAAATCTGTCAGGAAAACCTATCTCCTTTATCACCTGTTGTAAAAAGATCCACTCCACTGAATCATATGCTTTTTGAAGGTCAATCTTTATCATACACCCAGGGGATATCTAAGCTCTAGTATAGGATTTAACTAGTTCATGAGCTAGGATGAAATTGTCAGCAATCTTTCTACCAGGAGTGAAACCTGCTTGAGCTTCACAAATTATGAATGACATGACTTTCTGCAATCTAGAAGCCAAGATCTTCGGGATTATCTTGTATGGGATTGAACAACAAGCTATTGGTCTGTACTCTTTGATTGTGGCAGGCTTAGTCACTTTAGGAACTAATGTGACAGTGGTACAGTTTATTGTCTACAGATCTTTCCAGTTGAGAAGAACTCCTTTATAGCCTCTGTAATCTGAATGTTGATAATGCCCCATGCTTTTTTTTTTGAAGAAAACTGCATTAAAACCATCAATACCTGGAGCTTTATCATCACCAATTGCTAAGACTCTCAACAATCTCTTGGTTAGTTACCTCTGCACACAAATCCACCCTTTGCTGATAAGACAGTGTAGGACCATTCTTCATGTATGATGTGTTTATGGCTGGTAAAAAATTGGCAGCTGATCCCATTAAACTGTTGTAGAAATCCATGATCTCTCTTTTGATGGCTTTAGGGTCAGTCAACTTGTCTCCTAGTAATGTTGTGATTTTTGTAATCTGCTTCCTTTGAGTTCTATCCTTCATTACTGTTGTGAAGTATTTAGAGTTGGAATCTCGAAGCTGTATCCATCTTGCTCTAGCTTTCTGTTGTAGGACACTCTCTTTAATTAAGGACCACTTCTCAAGTTTGAGTAGTGTTTCCTTCTCCATATCTAACAATGCATCAGTACAAGTCATTAAAATCTGTTCTTGGATGGTCCTCAGCTCTATTCTAGCCTTCTCAATTCTCTGAGTGATGCCCTTGAATTCCCTAGAGTTTAAAGCTTTCAGAGCAAGTTTTAGGTCTTTCAATTTTGTCCATACTGATTTCAAAGTTCCATGAGTATTGTGAGGATTCCATATGCTTGCCACTATTTGAGAGAAATCTTCATGTGTTGCCCATATGTTGAAAAATCTGAAAGGCACTCTACCAGTCCATGTTGAAGATGACAGTGTTAAATAGGAGCATGGTCTGATATTTGAGGTAAACCATAGTTTGTTTCCACATGGCCCTAGGACATCATCCGTTCATAGTTACCAAAGACTCTATCTAGTCTACTGCCGACCCTATCTACACCAGGCTGTTTATTAGTCCATGTATAATAGTCACCCTTCCAAGTTAGTTCTGTCAATGTTGTTTGTTGAAGGCAAGCAGCAAATTCTTGAATTTCTGAGTAGCTTACTGGGTTACAAGATAGTCTGTCATTTGAATATAGTATTGCATTGAAATCACATGCTATTAGCCATGGAACTGTTATACTTACTGATAGCAGTTGTAGGTTATCCCATAGAGCTCTTCTTTGTTCTATCCCATTGTAACCATACACTACAGTGAGTAAGCAATCTATATCTCCCCTTCTACTTTTCACCTGACAATGTATCATTTGAGCATTATCTTTAATACCAGTAACAATGAGATGACTGGTATCCCATAGTAACCAAATCCTTCCATTCCTAGCATCCTTATAATTTTGTCAGTACATTCCATCCAGGAACAATAGCTTTTGAAATCCTTTGAGCATTCCCCTCCTTCACTTTAGTTTCTACAAGACCTACTAAATTTATTTTATTGCTCCTAATATACTCCCTAACCTCTTTCTGTTTATACCTTTTATTTACACCTCTTATATTCCAGAACAACCAATTCATGATTGTTGATTACAACTTCCATCTCTATCACCAGGAGGAATGTGTACTTCACGTCTACTTGTAGAAACTGCCTCAAACCTATTTCTCATTGGGATGGGAGATAAAGGAGGAAAGTTGATGAGATTAAGTTCAGGGCTTTGCACTGCTTTGCCTTTATCATCTTGTTTCTCAGCTACAGGTACCAAGTTTTGCTGAGTATTACTCTCCTTAGGTTCAAGTGTCTGTTGCTATTCTATGATCTCCAGCTTCCAAATTGTTGACACCTTGTTATTGAGTCTTAGATAAGGTTATATTCAGTGGCTCAGATGCATTAGGTATAGGACCTTTAGTTCTTCATTCCTGTATGATCACCTTGTTACCCCTTACTTTCTTAGGCTGGATTGGCTGTTGCATCATAGGTCTGGTTTGATTTGAACACTTGTGTCCCACAACCAAGCATTTGTCACAATAGGCAGGTTTCCAGTCATAGGTAACACCTTGCAAAAACTTCTTTCCAGTTGAGTCCATAACCACAATTTCAGTTGGCAGCTCTGTTGTAACATTAACCTCAATAAGCATTCGAGCAAAGAATACCCGAGTCTGCTTAG